CAGTCCTAGCGGAGCAAAATCCTCCTCTGGTGCCTGGAATACAATGTGGAGCTAACCACACACCACCTTCCAGGGGTGAGGAACAGTCTGGCGACGCCCTTTCAGGGCGGCTTCGTCTCCAGAGAACGGAGTGGCTGATACTTCAGTGGGTAGCCTCCAGGCTGTTTCGGCTGTGGGACGATCCAAGGTTGGACCGTTTTGCCGCACCCCGGAACGCCAAGCTCCCGACGTACGTAACGCTCCTGCTGACTCCAGGAGCCTGGGCCAGGGTCGCTTTGCTAGCCCCGTGGACCCACTTAGTTGTGTACGCCTTTCCTCCCTTCCCGCGAGTTCACCAGGCACCGGAGAAAACTTCGACAGGTGCACACCCGCATATTATCATGGGTTGCACCCAATTGGCCAAGCAATGCCTAGTTTCCACTTCTGTTGGAAATGCTAGTCAAAGCGCCAGCAGTGCTTCCGGACTTACTGGACCTGCCGTCCCAACCAGACGGCGCACTACCAACGAGCCCAGCAGGTATCACTTACATGCATAGAGGCTCTTAGTAGACCCGCACATACAAACGCCTTATCTGAGCGGGCTGTCAACGTCCTGGCCAGGGCGAACAGGGATTCCATCTACGCGGCCTACATTTCTAGGCTGCAAGCATACACTGATTGCTAGCGGAAGGGAGATTGATCCATACCATCCCTCTATTGGCCAGGTAGCAGGCTCCTTCGTCCACCTGTTTAACGAAGTGGGTTTGTCCTACGCAGCGAGTGTTGGCTACAGGTTGGTCTTGACCCCACCACTCAGAATGTACAGGAACAAGACTAGCCGATTGTCCTATTATTAGGAGACTATTTACTGCTTTCCAGACGCCAAGACCCCATACAAGGGTGTGTGGTCTGCTCTAAGCAGACCGCCCCTTTGAGCCTCTTCAATCAGCACCACTCAAATTTTTGACGTGGAAAATAGTCTTCCTACTGGCTCTCACCTCAGGTAGGCGCCGGTTAGAGCTAGGCGCGCACTGTCCTTTTCAGACGGTTGTGCCGCTTTTATGGACGATCAAGTTGTACTAAAGACACGAATCGGGTGTCTCGCCAAGAACCAAATCCCAGGACACGATCCTCAACCGATCGTCATCCCCTGGCTGGCAAATATTGTCAGTCCGGAGGATCAGGATTAATTGCTTCTCTGCCCGGTCTGAGCGCTGAGTTGCTACGAGAACCGTACCAGGTTTTCAAGACAGGGAACCAAACACATGTTTTTGTGTTACGGCCCTCGCAAACAGGATAAGCCGGCTTCCCCGACTTCCGTCTCCAGGTGGATTGATGAAC